ACGAAATGAAAATGACATCAAAGCTTTTCTGAAGACGGTCGGTTCTTTTCAATTATACATTCATATAAAAACACCTGCGCTGCATTTTAATTTTAAAATGTGCAGTGCTCAGTTTATTGAACGAAGTAGAATCCTTTTGGAAAATCTATTTGTCGCGGTCAGTTTTGATTTTGTGACGGGTCGCCACAAATAACTCAATGTAAGGGAAACACTGGACACTGCTATAAGTCAAATGGCCATAATCTAAGTGATAACAAAAATAAATAAATAAAATGATTTACAAGTTTAACATGCGTTTATCAAAGTAGGAAATAATTAGTGTTCTTGAAATACAAAATTGGGGCAGGTCCGGATCCGGACCGGAGTCCGGACTTTGAGAAGCACTGCTGTATAGGGTCAGCATGCGTGCCGAAGGGGAAACAGGGGAACTGAAACAATACTACAGCAAGAATCAAAGTTACGCCTCCTTTCTTTGCATATACATTTGGGCGGTGTTATGCAAATCTTCCCACATCGTGATGTAGACATGTGGGGGCGTGTTTGAATGAGGCGTTTTAGGAGGGCGTGGACGAGTCTTAACTTTTATAAAGAATATCTCTTTGGGTTTGAGACTTAAGTCTTTGCAACTTTAGGGATCTTATCTATTCACGAACAGCTTGTAACACTCCAACGAGAAAGGAAAACTTGAAATCGCATCATATGACCCCTTTAATTCAAATTATTAAATGGATGCCACCTTATTGGGACAATAAAGCCCTCCCTACACCTATCCTAACCCTACCCGATACTTTATTTTCAACTTTTGATTATTTCCTTCATTTTTATTGAAAACAAATGCCTTTCCGATGTGATATGAGATTTGAAAAGGGAGAAAAAAAAGTTTGGTAAAAGGCGGATTCGAACCCGGGTCGATCACGTCAGAAAGACTGTAGTATGCACTTTACCATCTATGGCACTGATGGCACGCCAACAAGGCGGGCTATTTGCACTTAGTGTAAATATACACTCCGTATATTTTTAATGCCTACACGTTATCATGCAACATCATGATTCAGTGCTTGACTTGTTTTCACCTCCTCCAGCATGCTGAAGATATATTTTCTCTGCCATTTCATATGTATCTATTATTTTGAGTTATACATAGCATTAATATCTCCCTTTATATTGCTTTTTATGTACAGTACTGCATATTTTTAAATGATCACTAAATGCACAGTTACGGTACTTTCATAAAAATCCTGTGCATTTCTTTAAACGTGGATGCAGTTTAAGCAATTATTTTCAAGCTTTGATCTCAGCAAATCTGTTTTGCACAGTTTGGTTCACCTCACTTATTTACAAGGTGACAGAAAAATCTTAGAAATTCTCTTTTATGCCTTTGTAAGTCTAACTGACCTGCTCTCATTCTATCTAGTTTTTTTTTTCTTATCTCATCCTCTCTTCCCACCTCTTCCCCTATTAGTACACTATACGCTGGCTCCACACTTCTCCTCCAGTGCACAGGCACTTCAAAGAATTACAACAGGGCCTCTGAAGTGACTCTGAAATACTTTTTCAATGTTGGCAAATGTGCTTTGATATTAAAGAGTGAACTGGGGAATCCTATCTCTGGGAAAAGAAGTTTGTGTGAGAGACCATGGTAAGGCTTGAAGCACATGTTCCATTCTCCCACGCTCACAGCTAAGGGAAAAATTGTCAAGCACGTGAGAGATGGAACACAGCCTAGATTCAAAGGTGTTTGTCTTGAATGATTTGCTGTTAGGTGTTGTTAACAGTGTTGGGAGTAACTAACTAAAGTAGCAATGTTCCGAACTCAGCTACATTTTTCTGTATTGTAGCTTTTTCCAAAATTGCAGCACTCTTCCTAAAAAAGGAATATTTTTTCATATTGTGCATGCACAAAAAAATGTTTAGCTTGACTGTAGCTTGAGTTAAGTAGCTACAGCACCAAGTAACTTCCCCAACACTGGTTAATAAACTCCCTTAGATTTTTAAGGCGAAGCCAAGCTTGTTAGATGACTGTTGACCCATATGAAGCTGTCAGCATGATCTGCGATCATTGCTGTGATTTGCAGGGAGTGTCAGCCCTACCACAGAAGTTAATTTAATTCATTAGTTAAAGTTAATTGACACTGCATGGCTGTCTGAGGATGTAATAGAGATATAATAAGCGCTGAGAGTTTCTATCAGCAATAGGCTTGGAACCGATAGTGGATAGCAGCAATTACACATTTTTGCTCTATTTGACTGTAAACCATTACAGCCTTGAGTCTCACACAATAACCGTCCACTTCTAAGGTCACACTCTTTCTGAATAACATTAGACTAGACAACATTTTTAAAATACTACTGAACCTATATAGTTTTAGGTGAGGTTTTGAAATTGCACACCTCTAATCAGTACTGTAAATCACATCTTTATGTCATTCGGAAAGATCTGCACTTGTCTACGTCTCCTGCAATGGGTTGTAGTGCATAGCTTGATTGCTAACCAAAGGCACATTAGAGCCAGTGAGTAAGCAATCATTAAATTCCTTGAGGAAAAGAGGAAATGGTTGGAGCAGACATTTTGTTAGTCTATAAAGCAGAAATACCTTTAATGTAAACACTTTAGCGTTATTTGACGTTTATAGGATGGGAAGACTGTCCACATACTGGCATAAGTAAGCACTCAAGCACTGCAAAATCCTACAAATGAGCCAACAACCAGGTGCATACATTGTTGCACACTAGATAGTGTTGTCATCTGTTCCTTTTCTCAAAACACAGAGCAGATACAATGCCAATGTGGACGAAAAACAAAAGAATCACACCAAAAAAACAATACAGCACCTTAGCGCTCCTTAGATAGCAGTTTAAAGAGATTTGCACAGGAAATTCGGTAACTGCCAATAATATTTAGCCGTTCTAAGCACACTTATTAAAAGTTATTTCCAATTTCAGTAAGCCTACAGCACTCTACTTCTTAATAACAATCCAAGTGTGTGCAAGCGCTAGTATGCATACAGTAGAATACCAACCTTTAGTCTGCAGGCTGCCCAAGGGAGCCTCCACTTAGCAACAGGCTAATAAATCTTTGCTGGTGCAGTGTGCCGCAGAGAAATGGTATTGTTCCTCATATCCTATCTGATATCATACTCAAGTGTGTGCTCAAGGAAATATTAGATATGGCAATTATAAATAGCGCTAATGAGATCATTATCTGTTTCTCATAGTGCTTTACATATATGGAGGCTTATATCAGACTCCACCTCCAGAACCCTTAATGCTAAGCCATTACTGTTGTGAAAGGACAATTACTTATCGTGCACTGCAAAATTAGAAGCACAAATTGCAGTCTCACTGGGAATGTTTTTACGGCGTACATATTCTTGATCAAATTAACCCATCTGCACAGTCTCGGGGAAAGTCACATGCGAAAAAAGCTGCTGAATCTGGATCACACCGCGCCCACACGTGCCATTCACGGCTTTCCTTTTTAAAGCACCTCCTTGTCTGGGCTTCTTTACGCATGTTGGGCTGACACCATTCAGTCAGTTAGAGCTATAATTGATCTTAAACAAATAATCTCTTTCCCATCTCTTCTAGAAACAGGAGAGATGTGGGCCACAATGGAGGAGGAGGTGCCATGGACTTATTCTGGGAACGGATCCTTTGTAAGAAGACTGAAGGTGACATGGGGGATTCAATGCACACCCTTTGGAGTGGAGAAGTAATTTGGCCCTGATCATTCACCGCAAATTCAGTTTAATCAATGTAGAGTGAATCAGGCAGGCTAAGGTCAGACCTATTTTCCAATTCAAAGCTCAACCAAGGCTTCAGTTTGAGTCTCGGAACAGATAAGGGGCTTACACAAATAAAGTGTGTGTGATTAGTAGAGAGGAGAAGATGGAGACATTGAAACACACCGAGAAGAGACTGATGGCAAAATGAAAACCCATTCGGTCCCACTTTATATTAAGTGGCCTTAACTACTATGTACTAACATCAAAAAATAAGTTCAATGTACCTGTTGTGTTCATATTGTATTGCAAAACACTTGCTGCTATCGAGGTGGGATATGGGTAAGGTTAGGGTGTTATGGGTAGGTTTAAGGGTGGGTTAAGGTGTAAGGGATGGGGCAACAGCGTAATTATAAACGTTAGGGATGCACCGATACCACTTTTTCCAGTACTCGCCCGATACCGATACTTTTATTTTTGCTACTTGCCGATACCGAGTACCGATACCAATATTTTTATTGCATTTGTACATTTTTTAAATATTGGGTACAGAAACCAAAAGAGTATGTATAATGTTAGTTGGTTAACTTCATTGATCAAATAGATACAGTCAAACCAAAATTTATTCAGACACCTTCAACATTTCTCACATTATCACAGTTTATTTGCTATAGTTTCGAAAATGGTAATAAAATATGACAAGAACTCAGAGTTACACTGTGTCAGAACAAATGAATCTTGATCATGTTAGATCATTTTGATAGAAAGGTATGTAATAGATTACAATCAACCAAAATAATTCAGACAGCTGTTAGTATGACAGTATTTACACAACTATGAATATTTTGTTGGGCAACCCTTAGCCTTAATGACAGTCTGTAGTCTCCTGGGCATGCTGTCACCCAGCTTCATGCAAACCTCAACTTCAATTTTTTTTTTCCC